GCTCAGGATAGGGACCAGTGGAGGGCTCTTGTGAACACGGTAATGAACCTTCTGGTTCCATAAAATGCTGGTAAATTCTTGAGTAGCTGCAGAATTGGCGGCTCCTCCAGAAGGGCTCAGCTCCATAAGTAAGTAATATTCTACCAGTCAAGAGAGAAATCTCTCTCATCCAACATATAGCCAATATTTTACTGAGCTATACCCCAGCTCACAGTGTTATCTGTCAGTAAATATAATCCATGGCACATCTGACATGGATAGAATTAATCTTAATACCTAAGTGCTGACAATATTTAGTGTAGGTTACTTGCATACAGAATTAAATTAGTACCTGCTTTTCATAATACCTTTCTACACTGCACTTTTCGAAAGTGATACTTGCACTGCAGACTCTCGGCTTGAATGAAATTTGAATATGATCTGAAAGTTTGTGATGACAGCATGTTTCTGGACATTAGTACTGTGTTTTAGAGACAAACATGACAATGGATAATGTCCAGAAATATAATTATTTAATAAAATAATAATAATAAAGTTCTAATAAAATTAGAACTTACATCTTTGTTTGCGTACCCATGGAGAAGCAATTACTTGATTATTATTATTAATATTCCATTGTAAAATTCCGTTGATCCAATCTAGGCTACAAATATGCCTGACTGATATAGAACCAATCAAAGACAAGTAACTAAAATACACATTCTATGAAAATAAGCATAGGTCAGATCAACCAATAAACCAAACTGTTTATCCTCCTACTTCAACATTAAACACAACATTTTAAATTTAATATTATAAAAAAATCATCATACCAAAAGGTAGATGATAATATATTTATGCCAAAATAAGGCACCTATGATAGATAAAACCTTAAAAATTCACATTAAAATTAGCAATTACTATTAAAAAATCCTTCAGTGAATAAAAAGAATTCAATAGAAGGTAGTTTTTAGAGTATTTTTAAATTGATTCTTATTATCAGACAATTTTTTATGCCTGGAAACATCCACAAACGAAAAAGGAGTGTACATTCATGAACTGACACACAATACAAGAAACACTATTTTTATGGTTTTTATTTATTCCACTTACATAGCTTTCCAGAGCTTTAACATAAATAATTTATAAAATAATATACAATTAATTTACATAATATATCATGAAATTTAAAATAATTATCATGACAATATAGAAACAAATAAAAATGACCAGCATTTTTTCAGGAACAAAGATTATAAAGCTGTGTCTAAAAACACGTAACTGCAATACTGAACAATTTGACTGCCTCAACATGTTCATTATGAAATTTGAAAATATGGCACATACATTAGAGATATAATTCTAACCAAAGTGAAACAAAGTTTCTTGATTAAATGTATAAACAAAGCCAGTTAAACATTTCAGACAGTAAGATATGTCTGAAGAATTTTGCACATGGTTCCACTACTTCAAAATAATATTCATCATACAAAAACAAACTGGAAAATGCAGCAGTCCACTATATATGAATGTACATATGAAGGTGTCAGTCTAGATGAAAATTGTGTGCAGATTCTTCTCACATCTGAATTACTCGTAGATGCAATGTTCCAACTTTACTGGATAAAACACATACACAGTATCACAGCAGTCTGAGTATGAGTACTGCATCTGCCAGGTTTGTTATGACAGGGAAGGACTGTAAACTCCCAGAGAGTGGCAAATTAAGGCATGCTAGGCATGAGCCTCAACAGGATGCACACTCAAATAGAATAAAATACACTCAGGAATGTCGTTCATTGGGCTTTACCCATTCCATGCTTCACCTAATTCTGCCACAACCTTTTGTCAACAGGAAACTCTTATACAGTATGCCTGATATGAATGTGTAGACAATGAGGAACTGTGAGTAAATTTAGTATCAGAAGCACTATATATGCTACCTTCAAAGACAAAGACTGTTCAATAACTCTACATAATACTAGAATTATAGTAAAGCATATACTTCATTAAATATCACAGAGGTCAGCATCTTTGTTAAATCTCATACAATGGGTTTTATCTGCATCATTTGCAATGTCACTTATTATATGGGAGAAGGATTACAGGGTACACTACAGATTATATTGGAACAGCAAATAATTTAAATCTGTCTGGTGAATTAAAACACGCTGGGAACTCCACCAAAGCATCTGCCTCCTTCAGTGTTAAATATATAAGCATGATTCTTGCTATACCCAGTACAGGCATCTGATCTATTTAAACTTCCTTTATCACAAAATAAAGCTGCAACACACATTAAAGAGAGCATTTTTCCACAGTAGAAACTGAACTCTCATATCAGCAAAAGGGTTAATTAGACTTAATTCAGAAGAATTATATCCCCTGGGACATAACATTATGCAGCCTGGTGAAAGGCAACCAGTGTTCTGGGCAAACATGTCAGCTCCACCTTCAGGGCTGAAGAGTAAGTCAAGCAAGAAATCAGCATGAAGCAGGGAACAAGCACTGTTGCTACTGCCTGTTTCATGCCAGTTTCTTCCTTGGCTTACCTTTCAGCCCTGACAATGGAGGTGATTTGTTCCTCTGAAATGTGAACTGACTTTTACTGGACTACACAATTTAAAAGGACAGAATTCTTCACAATCACTTCTGCAAGAACCTCAAATCATATAAACTTACTTAGGATACTTAGAACATGTATAGACTATTCAATATAAGATAGGGTGATGAATATTTATGAAAAGTTTATGTTTCAGAAGATGGAGAAAGTAGGCCAATAAAATATATTAAAATAATAATTTTTAACATTTTAAAATCTGTACAAACTAACTCATCTGGATATTATATATCTGAGATGACCTGATACATATGAAAACATGAAGACACTGAGAAGAGCTGCATGACTCTCAGAGGCATGAGACAGTAAAATATGGTCATGAGTCCTGTAGGACTCAGAACCAAGAATGACTGTGCTGGTGAGGCCCAGCAGCATATTACCTGACCTGACCGACTGACTCAAGGGAATATTAATTTTGTGTTTTCTTATATTAGAATTAATTTCCCTAAAATCATAAATGCAACCACTTCAGATCTAATTTGTACATGTGGGTGTTTTATGTATTATGTTGATGCTGCACACACTTTGAGACATCGACTGTCATTAAATAAACCATGAATTAAATAAATAAATAGATAAATAAACTTTATATACACTCACTATTTTGGAACTCCTTATAGATATAATGTGTCAATAACACTAAAGAGACTCACAGCTTCAAAATAAGGATGTTTTGCGTTATCAGGACAACAAAAACATATAAAGAAGTGCCCCAGTCCCCATGTAAGTAAACAGTAACTTTAGTTTTTAGAAAAAACTAAGCACTGAATTTATACACACTAACTGAGTCAGGGAACAGAGTAGTGTCACACCTCACTCAGATTTGGGGAGTGCCTAGTTTGAATCATGGTTGGGAACTGACTATGCTGCCAAAGATTTTTCATGGTAGTCCTCAGTCCCACCAGGTGAACACTAGGAAAGCACAAAAATAAACATATTACTCCTACTGTCATCATTCCCATTTCACAATACATGCAATACATGATCACTTTATCATGAAACTCAACACTAAACAACCTATGCAGTTGAAACAGTGTCATTAAATAACCCATGGATCAACCAATCTGCTTTTTGCATATGGATGTTAAATAAAATAAAAACCTTGACCAGCATTCCAAGAATTTTTAACACATTTTCATAAGCACCCTTCATGCATTAAAGACTGTAATTTGCTTTTAATTGCGTGTATACATGTTACTCATTTTCCCTTAACTAAGAGCATGGAATACAATACATTCTAATTAAGCAGGCATAGTTCATCTTTGTTTATATCCAATTTTCTATCACCATTTTATAAAAATATATATTTTAACAAATCAGTGTAAATTTTCCAAACAAAGAAACTGTTGCTTTCAGTCACTCATGAGGTGTGTCAACTTACTTCAGTGGGGAAGGAAAGAAAATGTTTCCCTGACAGAGAGACCTTCCCCGCATTATTGGCATGTACTGCAGCATATACAGATGGTGCACTCAAAAAACAAGAGACTGTAAGATAGTTACTTTCATAATTCGAATTGTCTGAATCTTAACAAGCAATCCATCTTTTTCTATCAGCAATCTAAAGCAAATACAAAAAATGATAGGATGACATGCCAGCAAAAATTATATTATTACTATAATGAAGACTTTCAAAACAACATAAAACATAATACTGTACAATAGTACTCTTTTAACAGTTTAAGCATTATTAAATGAATGATCAGAAAGTAAAGAGGTGTATTCCAGACCACCGATATGCTTTTGAAACAACTCTGACTGTAGATCACATTTACATAGTAACACCATCTTGTACATCATGCTTACCGATGGAATACTATGTTATTTATGTGACAGATGTTTAAAGTAACAGACAGTGAGCAAGTAAAAGGCCTTACATCTATCATCAGATATTCTGTTTTGGTCAGCAAATCTTATGTAAAGCAGAAACATAGACAAAACTGAACTGAATGAAATTGAGATCATGCCAAAGAATAAGATACCTTCCTCATGTTGGAATCACTTAATACCATGAGGTTATGCTTAACATTAACAAATCACTCTTTGTGTACATAGGTGGTCTAAAGTACGGTGACTTACTTTCTGAGCACCCAGTATGAACAGCTCTCTAAACTTTTTTTCTCAAACACTTGCACCGTCCACTGACACTAATAAGGAATACATATATATATATATATATTATAATATGCAGTTTTATTTACAGTACAACAAATGCCAAAGGCAATAAAGTAGAATGTATGCAAAGTATATCACGTCCTTCCACTCTACTATATATTTATATCCAGTACGTGATTCCAGTCAGTGTCAAAACAACACGTTTTATTACATATAGGAAAAGTGAGAGCATTATTCCTGCAAGTTCCGCTTGGCATTTAGTGAATTTCGAGCATAAAGCACAATAATGTTATATTCAGAATTGTGGGAAAAGTAGCAGCAGCTGCACAATTACATTAATTACTAGAGCAGGACAAGATACAGTGACACAGTAATGTACCAGCACCTGCTTCCATTGGCCACAGAGATTCATTTACAAAATAATATATCCCACAATTTCTAATAGGCAAATCATATCTTGATAAAATTTGATATATTCGTTAAAGAACTCTAATTTTAAAAAAGTAACATCTGACTGCTTAATTTGCCACCATATACTTCCACCTAAATATTTTTTTAAGTCATCTGCAAGGCATGTGGAGTTTCTATTAGTGAGCTGTACATTTACATATATTCAGTCACTCAGCACTCTATGACTACAGCTGCTTGATCTGCTCAACTATTACTGTATTTTCTTCACAACCATTTGACAACAGATCATTCAAATTTAAAGCTCATAATTGCACTACTGAAATATATCTAAAGTTGTATGCCTATTGTGATTTGTGACTTTCTCCAAAATATTCCTCCAGCTCTTAAAGCAGATCTACTAAGTATGAAACTTACATGAACAATGATGAAAATAGTCCAGTGACGTGTCCAACGGAAGCAGGCTTACAGACCTATCTACAGATATTACAAGCACAATATCTCAATCCAACATGCTTTAAAAAATAATGATTTTAAAAACAGTCAAATTTGGTATTTGTTCAACACAGAATGGAACACAGGCAAGAAAAGAGAGACTTTGATGAGCAGGCATATGAGTGGGTCCATGTCAGAGGGATTGACTAGTTGGACCCACTGAGGGAAGAGAGTAGTGTGCCTTCCTGTGACCACACTCAGATGATTACATACCACCATATGGTAATGCATGATGAACACTGAAAGAGCACTACATGCAATTGGCCTGTATGTAGCTCACCTGTTACCATGTAAAAAATTTGAACCATCATATTCACTGTGATGTCTACTTTCTGACTTTCTGTCAAATTAAAGAATACAAACACAGCAAAATTATTCTGTAGCATACAAGACCAAGGAGACATGGTTTTGTGCACATTCAATTTTAACATATTATTACCATTACCATATGTTGGTACAGAATGGCTTTGCACCTCTAGGAGCTCTGGTCCACAAACGTTCTTAAAAGTTGGTACTTTAATACAAGGAGAGAACCGATTTGACTAGACCACCTAGCCCATGTTGCTATATGCACTGACTCTCTCATTTTGCAACTTGCATTACTGGCTGTGGGCCTGGCAGACTGGGGTGGATGATAGGGTGCCTTCGTGCCAGCTTGGATCTGAAGGGCAAATATCACAAGTTTCATATAACTTCAAGTTGTGTAAGTAAGCATTTATCAGTCACACTTACATGACACGTAATAGCTGGAGAGGACTTCTGCTATCATCAAATTCTGAGAAGGTACAGACTTCAGAAGGAAGTTAACAATACTCCTCACTTCATTATGAAATAAACTAAAAGGATGCAGCATTAAGGTGTCTATTCAGGCTACTTTCACTCTAAAATAACATTTATACAAGTTTTTAAACCGCTTCACGACACCATAAAATTCTTTGTTATATTCTGCCCTGAAATACCCTATGAACAGGCTAGTCTTCAACTAGACAAATGTAAGACTAAGTTATATTTTTATTAGTAGATTACCCAAGTAAACACTTGTATGCCTGGTCACAGACATCAGTTTTGTTACACCACGTAGTCTTGCAGCCAGATACTGATGTTTGCAGGAACATGCATCCTCATTGGTTGGGTTATACAAATGGGTTACATGGAAGATGGTCCCTCAGATTCACTCAGTGATGGGGGTGATGGAGTATCATCTAGGTCAATAGGTACACTGAACACAGAAATGTCCCTTTTGCAGCTGTGAAGCTGGAGGCACCATATTCCTCCAAAACGTCAGTATCTGCCTACAGGTCTACATGGTGTCACAATACAGAAGACCACAATCTGAACAATCCTGCCATGAAGCCTCAGAAGTTGCATTAGTTTTGTTGTTACCTCATTTTCATGGACTAGCACAGGGATTGCCTAGTGTATCCTGAAGACACTACAGTATTTCTTAATTATTTTCTGATGACCATAAAGCTAAATCTCTGTTCAGTGCCAAGAAGTTCCAGTTATTTAGGTTTTGGTCAGGTGTCAAACTGAGAGACTTTTTCTAAAAAAAATTACAAATGTCTGGTATATTCTGAGACAGAATGTGTCAAAACAATGTCTTGAAAAAAACATCTTGATTAAAAAAAAGAGAAGTGAAGCTATTTATAATCTAATTGTTTTAATTCACATCTCTTCTTCTCTGCAGATTCTGACTGTGATTCGTGGGCTAGCATATTGTGAAGATGACACATGATTTAACAAACTTCCTTAAAAAATAGGATTTGTCTCAATAAATTGTATAATATCCATTTGCAGTGTTTTTAAATTTGATGAGACTGAACAAGCCAAACATGAATGGCTCTGTGAATTAAATTATTGTACTGGATGTTTAAGGCAGTAAACATGATGCAGTATTTATTAGGTACTAGCCAATGTTTAAAGAATACACTCTAAATGTTTCTCAAGTTTATTATTTAACTAGCAGTGGAAAACTCTTAAATCAATATCTAGGGATGCCATCATATGTACGGTGATACAAGACGGTGAATGGAAAAATTCAGTGCTCTAACCTCAAAGTACTCACTCAAATACTGTAATCCTCTGTCAATACTAATGCATAACATATTCAAAAGCAATTTATACAGGATATTTACATTACTTCATTTGATGGTGTCAGGATACAGTGAATTCAGATGGCATAAAAACAGGGCTAAATAAACAGGTCTTCTTAAGTCCATATAAGCAACATGATACTGAATGAAATGAATTATTGGAATTAATTACAGAAAACAACAGATTGTAAGGGACTGGATGAAGAATAGAGCTATAAATGATTTGACTGAATGTTCTCTTCCACTACCCTTATGGAGACACAATGAACTCAGAACAGATGACTGGAGACTTACCTGATTTGACCTGCTAGCAAAGGGTTGATAGCATATAGCCACTCATGAACTTCCCTGTCTCCCAGAGTCTGGAGTAAAAAGCCCCTGTGTTTTGTAACAACACTGAAACATGAACAAAACAATACTGTATTCTGTGAAAATTAGAATCTATCATATCTGTACTGCAACTCACTCTTAACTAATTAGTATTTTCATTTGCTACGGGAGGGCATATTAAACCATAAGAGCTTTAGGAGATAACTAAGTACATGCATCAACAATTCTTGAGAAGCTAAATGTAACCCAGCCAGTCAACTGTACTCAACACTAGCATCTTACATGTTCTGTTTGGCAGCTGCTGCTATTATGCTATCAGAAGGCTTAACCTGGGAGGCAGTTTAGCAAAGGGAAAGAAGAATTTAACAAAATAAGAAGTGGAAGCAGATCTTCAGTTACAATTACTATTCTTTCAATTTTGTAATAAGAAACGTTTGGGTATGATTAACATAATGATTTATGAAAATGGTTGTTGGTTGATGCACACAATTCTACATGCCTGCAACAGTCAGCCTCTGAACGCACCTGAACGTGTTTGGCATCTTAACCATTTCCTGCTGGTCCTCAGAGTATTCAACTTGCGCAGTTGCCAGGTTGATGAGTGCACGTTCTACTGGGTCCTTCTCTTCACGAAAAATGAACACATAGGGCCGTCGCACCGCCTGATCCAAAATAAAGAAGGGTTAAAAGATACATCTCATAATGTGTGATTTGAGGTTCTGACATTGGTGACTATGAAGATTACTCTTGTTTGGGATGTGATACCGTGCAGTCTAGTGTACATTCAGTGATGTTTCAGAGGAACTTTCTGCCTCCATCTTCTGTCATAAGGATGGATCAGTGTAGCAGATGAGGCAGAAAGTTCCTCTGAAACACTGGTAAACTTCTATCGGACTGCTAGATCTGAGGTTCTCATGGCAATGACTTCTGGGCTGTAATGCCATGTAGATCAGTGTTCTGCTTGCTTCTGCTGGTTTCTTCTTTGATTTACTATCGACCATGAAGACAGAATCAGTATGTTCTTTCAAAACATCTTCCTGAACTACATATTATTACAATCCAGAATACCATTTTCTTCTACCAGACAATACATCTCTGAAGATGTAAGAAATCTTCATGGATGTAACATGATTAAGTGTTCCCTGGTTATATGTCAGATCGGGTACACTATAGTGGTAGCTGTAATTCAAGCCCCAGTAACTATATTCATTATATCAATATGTTTATAATATAAAATGTTCATTTTCATAATATCTATAAATATTATTTCAAATAGTCATTAAACAAATACTGCTGTCCTGTAGTTTAGGCACTTAGGTATGGTCTTTCAACACTCCGACCACTGCCTTTCGGGCTTTATGCTAGATCCAACCTTTAGATAAGAGCAGTCATTGGGCAGAATTTTCATTTTGCCCACCAAAGAAATGATGAGGATGGCAGGAAGACCTAAGGCTTAATGTAGGGAGCCAAACCATGGTAGGTCCTGGTGTTCCATACACACACACAGAAACTTATGATATTGTTAAAGGTGAGCAAAATCTGCATTAGACCCAGCTAATCTCAAAACCAGGACCTCACACTTAGAAGGTCAGCATCATCACATTCCCGAATCACCTAAATACTGATGACTCTTAAAAATTAATTTTGGCCTTCAATAAAAGTAACAGTTAAGAATGGCAGATATGGTCTTAAAATATAATTTTGAACTATGGTAAATTATGTGTGCTCAGTTTCTGAGGTTATAAATTGGGAATTACAGTAAAGTGACTGCTTAGACTGTTAAACATAGATACAAATTTGACTTTATTAATATATTTCAATAATAATCAGCACTGCTTTCCAAAAACATGTTTGCTGGTAGGCACATATGCACCTTCTATTTTGTGATAAGATTGCTGGTACATACACCAATACAAAGACAGTAGCATTATTGATATTACTATTATTATTATTATTATTAGTAGTAGTAGTAGTAGTAGTAGTCGTGGTGGCAGGAGGGGGAAGGTGCGAGGGTGGGTGGTGGTGGTAGTGATGAACTTAATCAAGTCAAACCATGTCTCCTCCAAAATCATGATGAGGGCCTGGCACTGTCTGCATTCTGAAAATGTGGATGACATGAATGAAACCTTTGATGTGTGTACAGAAAAATATGCACCTACCCTTTAATAGATATCAAACCTATGGCATTCTGAATGGGGTACAGAGTCATACCCTGACAACATCAGATATCCTAAATAACTAACTCCATGGAGCAGAGCGCTTCTTGAGAAACTAACACTTGCTCGCTCCGGAAATTGCCCACCTTTTACAGATTCCCCAAGGTTCATCACCACGTTCACAACAGCTTGCCTCCTTGTCTCAATGAACTGACCTTCAGTTATAAGTTGCCAGTTAGGACTGAGGAAAAGAGGTCACAGCCAAATTTAAGGCTGTCCTACTGATAATGCAAACTGAGATTAATAAACAGCCTCACTTGGCACTATGCATCTGTGAGGTTCTAGTTAATATAAGATTTTGTCACTTGAGGTTCCACTTCAAGAAGCCAAGTGACTATGTAAATTCCCCATTAAGCAAAGTACTATGTATCATTCAAAGCACAAGACTGCCAGATGGCTAACTCACAAAAGGGGTACACAACAGACTGAATATGGCCACAATGTGAGGACTCACCTCATGCATCTACAATCTACTGTTCATGCATGGAGACAACAAAAGGTGTATATTCTTACCACCCATCTCTTCTTCCAGCCATTTGTTTTCTGCTCCAGGATATTGAGGTAGCCCTTCCTGGCAACAACAGGGCTGATGCGGATCTCTTCCATCTCAGGGACATATAGGACCAATTGCTCCCTACCGGGGGATGAGCTGCCTACAGGCTGAGGCACCTGAGGTGTGCACTGCCCCTCACCAGTGGGTCCACTGGAGAATATATACTGTTCTGGTAATACTGTTCGAGTCTTCTCTGGTGAGCATAATCTGCAGCACATGGCAAAGCAACAGAAACCACACATTAAACAATGAGAAGTTTGAGTTTGAAAAATAAATGTGCACATGAAATTATGGCAAAATGGCTGAAAACAATAATTTTTAATCAAATCATTTTCAATTATCCAATTTTCATTATGGACATTACCTGCTGCATATCGCAACTGAAGATTATATTAACATTGTAATAAGCTGGTAATAAATAATAGTTAACCAACTCCTCAGAGTGGGGTCAATCTGCTCGAAAAATTCCTTGCCTTTTATGAAGCCCAAAACTTCATTATCATGTTCACAAGAATCGGCAATAAATGTTGATTATAAAATGTGGGAATGCAGTTTTTACTACAAATATTTCAACTGAAATTACAGGTACTAATTTACAAAAAGCAAATTCCTATTTCAAGGCTTTCTGCAGTCATCTTTGCATTTTATCTCCATTTGTACAAGAACCTCCCACAGTTGACAAAAAAACATTGCTGTATAAAAAAACATAAAGTTAAAAGAAAGTAAAGGTATCCCTGTAACAGGCCGTGGAGGCCCATAGGGTTGTGAGATGTTGAGGTACCCACATTTTCTAGATAATTGGCTCATAGATGGCGGTGAGGCTGTCAGCCTTATGCACCGGCCCCCCTTTACCCCAAGAATATTCCTGGTACTCTTTTCTGTTAGAGGCTGAGTTGACCCCAGGGCCATAGTGTGGTTGGAAGGATTAAGTCAATTGAAAAAAATTCAACGACCTCATCGGGACTTGAACCCAAGACCTTCCAGCTTGTAGCATGGTGCCTCAACCAACTATGCTACTGCGTGCCCCATATAAACAAATATACAGGAAACAAATGCATTCACATTATTAGCTCATACAATGATGTTTCAACCCTTCAGTGCCGGGCTCTGTACCTGGCACACCAGTGGCTTCTATCACACGTCGCCGGGGTCCGTACCCTGCACGCGTATTGCAGCTCTAAGTTTCAGCTCGTATTTTGAACCGTGATTTTCATGTAAAGTAATTCTTTTGGTATGAAATTAAAGAAGAAATTTCAGGCTATCATTTCATATATTCATTGTCCCACTTTGAACTTCTTGTAGGAGTTGTAATACATTTGAATTCTTTGAAAAAGTTATCTATTTCAACACTTGGTGTGCTTGTTGCCCTTACAAACCTACCTCTGCCTAGGGGAATTCTTATGAACTAAATATGTTAGATCAATACTGTGTACTATCCTCTAGCTTGATCGAATGAAATGTCGATTCTCTTGAGGCATATTCTGAACTGTGCTGCTTCAACATTGGTATTTGTAACTACGAGGAGAAGACGTGGAGAATCTATGACTTTGAGACGTGACGTTGACTCTAAGAAGTGTGTTATGACTGCTACAGCAGAAAATGATAAACAGTTCACTATATGAATGATACCATTGTAATCCCCCTTTGTTCTATAAATAAGCATCATGCAGTCTGGTTAGCCAAGGCCAGCCACATGGAACGAAGTGGCCAGCTGTGTTGTGTCATGACCAGTGGAGAATATATTTACTTCAAATTGAATCAGAATACAGTTTTATCAGATTCAGAATTAGACAATGAAAATGGATGTTTTTGCTTTTCTTGATTCTGTGGTAAATGACAGAATCGTGAACAGCACAAACATCCACTGGGAGAATATGCAAAACTAAGGGACAAAAAGAAAATTTCTGAATGTGATGATAATATGTAGGAATAACACAAGGAAAATAATAGATAAACTGTCAATCAGAATTCAGTTGATTGAAGGACTCTGTGAAATATGCTAACGCTGTAGAACACAAAGTGTTGGGTCGACATTCGACCAACAAAACAGTGCCCCATCTTAAGAGAAAGAGATTTTATAAGCAAGAGTCCACCAAATGAAGAAATCAAGACAACAGAAACGTCATGTTGTGTGTCAAAAACTGTGTGACGTGGGAATCTGCGTGGAATATTTTCACGACAAACACACCCAGCTGAACTTCTAAGGTAATATGATACTATCATTCATAATTTTTATAGGCTCACTGTGCCAAAATATAATTTTAAAGCAGTGTGGATCAATACACCGATTCTATACATATTTCTGAATGTAGTGTGAAAATTAGAAAAACAGAACTCCAGTTTTTCCCAATTTATTACATTTTAAGTGAAAGGTTGCACCCTCTGATTTAAATATTTAAATATCCTCTGGCATAGGAGTTGAGCAGGAATTTAAATGCCCGCTGGCAGTGAAGGGTTAAACATATACATTTATTTTGGGTCTCGTGGATAGTTACTGAGACATGTTTAAATATGCGGCTAGAAATTCATATAAAGTTGTAGTTCATACTGTCCAAATAGGACAAAAACTGAATTCTGTCTAAGCTGTTTAGTATGAGTCATCAGTATTTCACTGGTTATAAATAACACGACCCTTTTAACTGAACACAATGAAAGTTTCTTACTCTATTGATGAGTTGGAAATAAGACTAGCGCTCATGTCTGTGGCCTCTTCACTTGGAGACACATCGTTGTGTTTTGTGATAGGCAAATCCTGGAATCAGAACAATAAATATTATTGGTATGAAAATATGTAAACATTTGTTTGGTATGTTCCTTAAATATGGCTATGACCCCTACACACATTGGGACCTCAATTCTGTTTTGTGGGTTTCATGAAGTCATTATGCATCATGATGTTGATGCTTGGTGCTACGTGTTTTGTCTGATTTTTATATTATTATGGTCTGGTTTCCAGTAAAAAACAAAACAGTTTAAAATCCCCACTGCACATGCACAACAGGGTGGGTTTACTATTCTTCATTTCTCGCATCCATATGATCCCTGAAGTCACTTGAAAGCTCTTCCACACATTTAAAAGGGCAACATTATGTGGAAACAGAAAATGACTGCTGACAGTACTGTTACAGCAGGCTCTGACACTGTCAGTAGCAATGTGTAATCAGTTTACATTTTGCAACTGTCAACAAAGGTTTTACATACAGTGATACCCTCATTTAAGTCTTGTTTTAGGGCTTAATAGTAACAGCAACAAAGAATAGTAAATTTCAATCATGGCATCAAGTGTATGCCCTCATCAGATCCATTTTCAGGAACAGGTAAGAAAAGTTCACATGTTAACATTGACTAATTTTAGTTACAATTATTGATGTACAGTGCATTTGTACAGTTATAATATATTAGGATGTAAAATGCTTTTTGAGGCATTATGCCACAAGCTGGAAGGTTGCGGGTCCGATTCCTGATGAGGTCACTGGATTTTTCAATTTACTTAATCCTTCCAGCTGCACTGCGGCCCTGGGGTCGACTCAGCATCTAACAGAAATGAGTACCAGGAGTCTTCCTGGGAGGTAAAGGGTGGCTGGCATGTAAGGCTGACAACCTTACGGCTATCTCTGAACCGACTGTGTAGAAAATGTGGGACGCTCGACGTCTCACAACCCTATGAGCTTTCACGGCCTGTTACAGGGACAGCTTTACCTTTTTACCTTTATTAAATTTCAACATAAAAGTCTGAGAGATCAGGGTTATCAGACAAATTCTTCATTATTACTATACAGGAGCCATCATTTTTACAGTACAGGATGTCACAAATTCCCTGCATACATGTTTGTTTATCAAATCCAGCACAGAATTAAAAATATTAGGATCAGAACAAAATATGAGGAGAGCTGGAAACTGGAAAAGGATGCGAATAAATACTTTAACTTCCACAACCTCATTTTTATAAATATGTGGTAGCATTACGTGTATGATATGAAGCTTGTCTGAGTGATGAATATACACGTACTTTACAATATATTGTGACATTACAACTGAAGAGAGAGCCATTACTAGGCTGCAGCAAACAACTCATCAGCATCATGATGACCACATACACAACAGAGGAATAAAAAATTGAGTGTCAAGATATTGTGAAGGAGGCGGTCACCATCCAAGTGAATGAAAAGACTACCCACAGCTGAAGAGTCAGAGATGTAGAAGCGCTGGCCACTATCACAAGTTTTGCCCACACCAACCGGAAAAGAAGAAATGGCAGTACACCTGTAGGCTACTTGCGATGAGCAGCCATTAATGTGACATTACAACTGAAGAGAAAGCTGTTACTAGGTTACACTACAATAAATAAACCCATTAACATAATGACTGCACGTGCAAGAGCGGAGCAGTATTTTCCGTATGGTCCAGGAGGATAGCAAAGTAAAGCAACCAAAGAAGAAATAATGGACTCAGTGTTTTCTGTGTGGTCCGTGCTGAGGCTACATAACGAAGACCAGCTGCCATTATGAGAGAGTCCTGAGACGGCAGGTAGAAGAGTAGGAGGTTGATGTGTGATTGCCGTCAGCCCACAAAGATGTGGGCCAGAAGCTGAGGAAGATCTACTGTTGACAGGCGTAACCAACCAGCACAGTGAAGAATGTGACTGAGAACACTAGCCCGTGTGAGATAGTGATTTGTAAAGTGCTCTCTGGTCCAGTGGTCAGACTTCCTGGCTACATATCCAGAGGTCTCCGTTTTGATTCCCAGCACTACCAGATCTGGACCAGTGTGTCTGGAACAAGGTTCACTCAGCCTTGTTGAGGATAATTGAGGAGCTACTTGAATGGAAAAGCAGTGGCTCCAATCTAGAAAACCGAGATTGACACACACTATCTGCAAAAGTTGAGGTCTCGGTTTTGATTCCCAGCAGAACCAGATCTGGACCACTGTGTCTAGAACAAGGTTCACACAGCCTTGTTGAGGATAATTGAGGAGCTACTTGAATGGAAAAAGTAGTGGCTCCAATCTAGAAAACCGAGATTGACACACTCTATCTCCAAAAGTTGACACTAACTTTGCCTGTCACTCAGTCAGTATAATTCCCTTGCAGAACAAAAACCCACATAGTCACGAGTTCTGTAACATCTGTTCTGTTGGGTCCCTTTAATAGATAGAGCTAGGCTCAATCACTGGACAACCCAGGTAACAAAAGACATAGGTTATAAATACCTGAGACCAGGCTAAGTCCATGGGAACTAATAAAAGAAATATACATTTCAAATTGTTCCAAACACATACTAGTGTGTAAGCCAGATCGACAGAGCCCTAGAAATAAATGTTATGAAACCAAACTAATAACAAAGTCCATGATCCCACACCACAGAACAAAACAAAAACGAGAACTAGTACAAAAAAAAAACCAAATGGTCAAGAGTTGTGTGATACCCATTCTCTTGTACCCCTTTAAGGACCCAGTCTCAAGTACACACATCACAAAACACAAAAGTTATAAATATCTGAGACCAGGCTAAGTCCATGAGAGTTAATAAGAAAGATATATATTACAAATTGTTCCAAACACGTACAACCGTGGAACCAGGATAGATAGAGCCGTAGAAATTTATGTCACGAAATCAAACTAATAACCAGGTCCATTACCCCATGGCATGGAATAGAAAGGAGAATTAGTAAAAGACTAATAGTGTCTAACTAGCGTCAACAATGGAGTAAATCACATCTATCTAATTTAGAACCTAACAGAAATCAATAAAACATATATCACGTCATACATATCATCTATGTGAATTGGTGACTTCATTGCTGATAATGGGGTTCCAAATGGGAGAAAAGTCCAAACTGGGTTGGCTAATTGGGTTGGCCAAGCATGCCATATATGTTGTCCAGTGAGTGAAGCTACATCTTTCTAAAGGACCCAACAGAATAGGTGTTTCCCTCACCTGAGGAGGGAAACACATCCAGTTTTTTGTTTTTCTTAGTTATCTTAAAACCAGGACAATGGATAAAGTCCGCAAACCCAATATCTCTATGTGTTGTGCACCATCCTCAGAATCCTATAGTAACTACAGGGTGGGCCATATTAATCTTTCCGATTTCACAAGGTTATTGCTGAGGCTAGGGAGGGGGTAGAGTGGTGGGGATGGTATTGTTAGACAGGTTATAGCGTGCAGTTTTCAGTACACACAATGGCTTGGTTGGGAGAACTTCGTGCGTTCGTGCTGGAAGAGTTTCTTAAAAACGGCGGTTCTGTGATCAAAACCCAGCGGGCCTTTCGCACTCACTTTGCTCTCGGTCGGCGTGATCCCATTCCCACTGGACCAACAATTATAAATTGGGCATCAAATTTTAGAGCGACATCTTCTGCATTAAAAAGAAAAACTTCAGGCTGGACCAGGACTTCAACATCAGCAGCAAATGTGGCTAGAGTGCGGGCTTCAATTTTGGAATCCCCCAAGCGTTCTGCATGGAAGCACGCGGCTGCACTTGGATTATCTGCCCGTAGTGTTAGAAGAATCCTTCATAGAGACCTCAAAATGCACCCATTAGTGCAAGAGTTAAGTGAAAGAGACTTTGAAACATGAAAAAATTTGTGCAACAACATTCTGCAGAGTATACCTTCCACAGCTGTTTTCATCTGTAGTGACAATGCCCATTTTCACCAGTCTGGGACTGTAAATAAACAAAATTTCTGCTACTGGGCTGAGAATAACCCTCGGAACCTTCACCAACGACCACTCCACAGCTCTCGAGTGACGGTGTGTTGCGCTGTTTCTCACTGTGGTGTCTGGGGTTCTTACTTCGAAGAATATGGTGAAGTCATTACAGTGACTTCTGCTTGATATTGTTACATGCTTGAAAATTTTATTCTATTGAAATTGGATGAATTATTGCAAGATCATGACCTGGAAGATATCTGGTTCCAACAAGATGGTGCTACAGCCCACACCCCGTGTCGTTCAATAGAGATTCTACGACAAATGTTTCCTGGTCATCTTGTCTCTTTGCGGGGTGACATCGGGTGGCCCCCCAGATCGCCTGATCTAACACCATGCGATTTCTTTCTGTGGGGCTACCTCAAGGCAAAGGTGTACACACATCGTCCCCGAACTATTGATGAACTGAAGGCTGCCATCACCGAAGAAATCAATGCTATTCCACAGAATATGACTCATAGAGTCATGGAAAACTTCCGAAACAGGCTCCGTCAGTGTATGGAAAATGGAGGTGGCCATTTGGAAGATATTATTTTTAAACCCCATTAAAACAAAACTGCATTCTATGTCCTTTCAAATAATAAAATAATTCTGCCTGCATCTTTCTTTATTTCTGTTCCATGCATTTTTGAAATCGGAAAGGTTTATATGCCCCACCCTGTATTTAATAAATTCATTTTGCTGTAAACATTGTGAAGAAGGTCAGACTGTTACTACTTTGTATTTGGCAAGTTAAGAACTCTTAGAAGTTCCATATCAACTACAGGATGATGAAGCTTGTTAGAGTCCCTACCTTACTTGGTATCCTCCCTTGAATCAGTTTCACACACTTTAGGGTCAGCTCGCTTTCCTTCTCAGTCATTTCCCATGGCTCATAAACATCTTTGCTGGGAGACTTGTGTACCACGGGACTGGCTCGACCCTCATTTGTTGCCTTGGCTACCATGTTACATACCTCCTGCAAGTAAAACAAGCATAAATATTTTCGATTCATTCATATACCCTGGAATAAGAAAACAATTACCACCAGTTTTTCTCTTTTATTACTTTTTTCAGCATTAAAATCACTGACATACTTCTTGTTTGACATTGTGTTACACTACAAGACGGGAAAAACAGGAAACAGCATAGCTTTAGAATGCAGTATCTTGAATTTGGTTTCAATTTTCAAGAGATCTGCATAACAGAATTTATACAGTAAACAGTTTGGAATGTCCTAGCATTTAACAGTATAATAAACATTTTGGGATATGGATTATGTACTTACTGTCATGAACACACCCTGAACATTATATGTAGTACAGTCCATTAAACTATAAGATCTATTGCAACCAGCTCATGATTCAAAATGTAGGACATTATTTCACCCAAATTTGGATCAAAGGAATTATAGCTTCTGCTGTTCCTAGTCAGGGACAATTTTGCAGTATGTGATGTGACAAAGGGCAACTAAGTTATTAATGAGGTTAATTTAAATTCTAAAGCAACAAAATTCAAATATATGGAATTAACAACAATAAATAACAAGAAGTTCTGGGAAGAACTAATCACTTTTTTTCCTTCAATATGGCATGGACTTTAAAAAAATGATATGTCCAACAATTCTATTATTGCTGCACATGTATTCTTTGCCACGGGAACGTGTTTACCAAGCCGTTGCCTAGCAACAATAGGTTAGATAGACATACAGACACACAGAGAACGTGATCTTGTAAGCACACTTTTATTTTTTCAAAATAAGGAAGGGAGGCTAAAAAGAGGTCACTGCTAAGGAGAAGAAAAAATGCTAGATATTTTATAGGGCCTGTAAGATGATTTCTTGGCTTGTAGGTTATTTAATCAAGCTGTATTGACTTTATATATTACTTAACATTGTACAAATGGAGTTGACAAAGAGCAAACTGGACAGAAACGAGGAGGGAGCAGCTGCCCCCCCCCCCTCACCTACAAAGGGGTGTGGGAGGTAAAGCTATTCCTGTAACAGACCATGGAGGCCCATAGGGCTTTGAGGCTCCACACATTTTCTAGATAACTGGCTCAGAGATGGTGGTGAGGCTAATAAGGAAGCAGCCACAACAAAATACATTTTGCAATGGTATTTGACTGAAGAAACTTTGGAAAACCATTAGGACCTGAGTTTGATGGCCAAGAGCCAAATTGAGTATCTGCCATATACAAGCCAGACACAACCTTGTTTGAGACAGTCTGCATGATGGGCTGTATAAGAGTACATGTAATGTTTCTACAATGCAAATATCTTAATTTCAGTCTCTCACCTTCTCTGACTTGGTAAAGTCACAACTGCGAGTAGTCTGTATAGTTTTATCAATTCCTAACCGCTCCCGCAGGAGTAACATGTGGCGTACACGCTCAACTTCTTCAAGCCTTGTCAATTTCTCAAGCTCCCACTGGTGGTCAAAAATGAGGCTGTCACCACGAGGTCTCCAACCATGCAGATTCTCTTCACCACGCACATATGTTGAACTCGTGTCTAGAACGCGACGCTGACGACGCTGAACTCCTGTTGACAAGGAATACAATTCTTCATTCAAATTTATGTATTATTTACTGTTCGCAATTAAGTAAGTACACAGTATGGCTACACCAACACAATATACACATTAAATATACACTACATTGAAAAATGATTCAGTAGTTAGTGATCTTCCTGAAATTGACATTTTCTGTATAAGCCACTTCTGAGAAATATCATGAAGTTAAATCTGATCTTTCTGTAAATGTGACTGATAACTTTTAGTACAGCCCTATTAATCTATTGAACAGCTTCACATCCAGAGATGAAATATGTGGATGGACATAACCTCCTCTGTATGCATTCTCTTCATGAACAGAAAGCATAACAAATACTAACTCAGCAAAACAGGTCTCTAAGTACACAGTTGCCCAGACGGTCAAGAATTTCTGTTGTCAGAGAACAACAGATTTAGTAATCTCACTACAATAACCTGACGTTCAGTCTTACCTCAAGCTTATATCAACAAGTAGTACAGTTCACAATCAGCTGTATGCATATGTTGTAGGCATGTGACAATGCAAGAAGGTAGACCCAACAAGAAAACAACCCCTAACAGTATGAATATTACTGTCTGCTAAAACGCATGCCAGGTATTTTGCACATAGGTATGAGCACTTTAGATGAACCTGCTGACTTCATTTCCATGGAAATGGAAACAGTAGGTTCCTCAGCAAACTGTTAGTATCAAGATTACTGTTATCTGCAATGTGATGCTACGTTGTTTCATATGACGCAGGTAACTACTATAATTCTGGAGGAACCTAGTGTCTCCAATTTCAGGGTAGAAGACCATCTCTTACTTATAAAATTACAGCAGAAAGTTCAACCACAACACTGGTACCTATCTACCAGACAACATAGTGACACACAGTAATCTTTGTCATCCTCACTGTGAGAGCCTCAACCTCACAACATCTGTTGGAAGACTGTGTATTACAACTCCTTCCTGTGGCCAGAGTTTGTTGTTTCTAGACATTCACTGTTAGTGATAAAACCAATCACTAACTTTTATTTGAGAAAGATTTCAATATGCATTTGGCAACACATATGAAAGTGTCAAAGATCATCCTATATCTACAATATAAATACATAAACATCTATGTATATGCAGTAAATACGAAATGTAAAATAAAAACTCCTCCATATCTACTATAATTTGTACAAAAACTCTGTACTGACCAAACTATCACAATCACACTAACTACTTAAAGAAAAGATGCAGTAACATTACACTAAGTAAGCCCTACCAAATTGTGAACACGAATATAAGCATTCATATTATAATGTCTACAGCATTACAGTAAACCTTAACATAACATTATCTTTACATCTACTGCATGATACTTTAACAATCGAGCTGGGATTAGAACTATACTAATCACAGCCAGTGTGCTCAGAAACTCCTGCAGAATCCAACAACTTCATTAGCGAAGAAGGTGGCTTTCTGCCCACATCAGTGATAGTTGTTCAAACACTAATGCTTAAATGCACATATTTCATGGTTCAATTAACTCTCGTTGAACTGATTTAGCCATGTTCCTCTTTACAGACTTATAATCTCAATATCACACCATTCTGAAAAACACATTTTCTTTTTAATTCAATGTCAAAAAGCTGTGGAGTAATTCTTTGTATTTAAAAATTTAAGAATAAGAGTAATAAAAGAGCCCTGAAACTGTCCTACAGGGTTTCCCAAATCATACAGATAATTATTAAGGTAAGAAGTAAATTATCATCTTCGTAACAGTTGCTATTTCTATTCAAACATCCTGGCATACAGTGTGAAGAATTACATAGCAATCATTTGTTTCAAATAATTCTTTGAACAGTCATAACCAGTGCAGTCAAGCTGACTTCAAATGCATTAATCAATCACCCAGTGTAAAGAAACAAACCCTAGCACAGCAACCTGAATACACAACATGATGATCGCACTGGCTGGATGTCTACTCACTATTGGTTGGGTGGACGGGGAACAAACCTGGGCTACCTGCTTCCGATGCTCTCTTCAGTACCAGCTCGTACACGCCAGATAATCGATTTGCCTCTGCATTGCGATAGTTCCCAGAGAATAGGTGTTTCAATGAGCGAGGACCTGTCCTAGCATCACGACCATAAATTATCATGCTAAGGTCTTTTGTGATGATGGCTGGGCGGCCACAGTTTTCAAGCTGAAACACAGAAAACAGGCTACTGTTGTAGTCATATCTGAGTAGGCACAGAAAGTTTCACCTTTCCAATGCCATAGAAGTAAAATGTGTCAGCCATTTTTCTATTAGCTTATAATTACAAAACTGTCATAATATTTATATCAAAACATAATGTAACAGATTTGATCAATGTGTTGCCAGAAAACAGCTCTGTTAACATGGTCCAACATGCTATAATAGATGAGGCTGCTTTTTCCATGTTTTCCATGCCAAGTAGCGGTAGAACAACGGGGTTATGCAACCCACTTCTAGACAACGGCTTGGCAAACACATTTCAGCGTATTGGACCTTGCTATGAAAGCAGTGACATCATCAACAATAGAGATGATGATCTTAGGGAATCAAATAATGAATTAAAATTAACTCAAGCTAGATATAAAGCAATGTTGGGCTTCATGGTAACAGAATTAACTTTTGGGTTTGATAACACGAGTGAATATTCTGAGTATTAAATCTCTATTGACTGACTGTAGAGTTACTAATATGGAAAAAAACATTCACCTCTAGATATGCTGAAATTGTCATGAAGATCTGCTCTCCGTATGATGTGACCCTGTTTAAGAGCACTGAGTTGTGTAAGGAACTGTCCCATGCAGCTTCAAAGCGGAACATGCAGCGGTCGTCTCCAGGGATCTCCACGTATTCACCAGGGAACAGGCCCAGAGACAGTACAGAACTATCATTGTCTTCCTCCTCAGGTTCTGGGGTATTTCTGATGCGACCTGAACATAAACAAGGCCTAGTAGAGATCTACATTCAAAATGGAAGGGAAAAGGAGCAACAGTAGACTAAGATGGAAATATTCATAATAATAATAATAATAATACAATGCATATTAAAATTTTCTTCACAAAGAAATGCCATCACTTTTAAAACTTATACCATGACATCTCTTACAAATAGTGCTTTCAACATCAGATGCAATTTAGATAAAAATTTCACCAACAGATGAAATATATGTTGCAAAATGGTGACAAATATGAAAAGAGATCTTTGATTCATCAGTCTTGTTTGACTACTGCTGGAGAATTTCATGAGCTTTACTTCATGTTGTTACACAAGATATGAAAAATACAAAAATTGTAGCGCCTACACAGATATTTATTCTTTAAAAATGAACACTTGATTCAAGTTGTGAGAAATGAAACAGTTCTCTATATATAAATACTGCATAAAAATAATTAACTTTTTCTTATATAACAACAATTTATTTATATTTCATCAATGGTAGTTCAGAAAACAAACTGAGCATTCCAATAAGAGTAAACTGTATCTGAATTTTGCAATGTTATTTTCTTCTGTGCCACTGATTTTGCGGACTAACATTACCATATAATTTACAAGCAGAAAAGAAAACTTATAACTTTTTTCATAAACAATTTGCCAATTAAAAATAAAAAAAAATGTATCCTACTAAAGGCTGTTAGCTTCAGTGTGTACTTAGAAAGGAAAATATAAAAGTTTGTATATCCTTTTAAGAAGAATGGTAGCCCTTATTGGTTAAATAAGTATAAAATAATTATGTTTGGCTTCCTTTTTAATCATAGTTCTCATATAAATTTGAATAAAATCAATTTTATTCTGAGTGATGATATGGATCTTATGAATGTTAAGAAACGGAGCGATGATAAATTTTGAAGCAGGCACAGAATACGATTGAAAGGGCTAAAGCAAAGATATAAAGCACAGAGATATTGGGTTTTCAGACTTTATCCATCGTCCTGGTTTTAAGATAACTAAGAAAAACACGACGTTTCAGAAACTGGATCTGTTCCTGTCCTCAATCCAGTGATTGAGGCTAGCTCTTTCTAAGGGACCCAACAGAATAGGTGTTTTCCCTCACCTGAGGATGGAAACAGATCCAGTTTCCGAAACGTCGTGTTTTTCTTAGTTATCTTAAAACCAGGACGATGGATAAAGTCCGAAAACCCAATATCTCTGTGTGTTATACACCATCGTCAGAATCCTATAGTAGCTACAAAAGACATAAAGCTTGGCTTTTCAGTCACTCTCCACAACTCACAGTCAAACCAGTCAACGATGAAAAATAAATTAATAAAATTACAGTACAAATAATTACACATGTAAACTCACCAACAACCAGTTCTCGGACATCCTTCCACCGCAACTCTGGGGCATGCTCATGAACAATAGTAATTCGTATACGACGCTGGATCCCTTGGTGCAATAGGAACAGGCCACGGCAGGGTAGATCATCACTGTGGTCCACCACTGCTGGCACATATTCTCCATTTGGAGCTGTAAGTACAAAGCTCTCTGAGTTACTTTGGCACAAAGAATGTCTTCACATATACATGCACAGAAAACCTCTGGCAGATACAGCACTTATCAGTGTTTCAGAGAAACCTGCTGCCTCCATCTTCAGATATCCAAACCTTCTACCATGAACCCAAAATCAGTGGGTGCCTATGAAACATTAGCAAATATCTATCAGACAGTATCACATTCAAAAGATAGTAATCACTGCAGTCATTGCTTTAAAACTTCAAATTTCATGACAAGGGAAGATGGTCATAAATGATATGATCCGGAAGAATGCAGTCGTTGTTTCAGCATTCCATCCCACCATCCACTTGGTGAGAAACTGAGGAAAACTATGAAAAACCTCTGTAAAGATAGGCTGTAATCTGGCCAAGGTTCAAACCAGGCACTTATTGGATATAAAACTATGGTTCTCCTGCTATACCAAGTTGATTCAGTAACAAAGCTTACTTGAGAAAAGAAATATAACATTATAATACATGATTATTGAGAATGAAAATTGACATAAATCTGTAAAATTACAAATACATACAAATTGCATACCTAAAGTACTACAGATGCTTACAACTTCTGTTTTTCATTTGTTCCACAACAATTTCTAAGTTAGGGGTATTCACTTACCAGATAATTTTTAAATAACTGCACTGAGACTTGGTCAAATGGATAGCAAAGATAAGATATGGTTCTCAAGTTGATGACTGATTTATTCTCAGGTTATTTACTGACACTATTAAATTGCTGAGGTGTTCGATTTGCAAATGTGACTGTGAACGATATGCATAAGAGAATTTGCAGGATGGCAGTAATGGTGATTTAAAGATTTTATCTTGGAATTTACTGCAGAGACTGAGAAAGTTTACCAAGAGGTATGGGAGTTACCCAGGTGGTCCAAACTGGGATTACACTCAGGAAATTCCATCACACATTGACAGACAGAAAAAGTGTGCATAATAATATGCATCAAAGAAGAAGTTCGTCAGTCTTTGTCAAGGATCAAATAGAAATCAAAGGAATTCTTTATAGGATTTGAGGTTCTCACAGTGATGATTATGAAGAGTTGTGTCTTCTGTGATATAACACTATGTAGTGCACTGAAATTTAACTGATGTTTTGGAGAAACATGTTACCTCCATCTTCAAGGTCAAAGAATAAGTCAACCAAGAAACAAGCATGAAGTAGGTAACAAGCTACATGCTTCATGTTGCATGGAATTCTTATTTTGACTGAAGTGTTGAATGTTAAAATATAATACAATATGAGATTCCACTGCTGCTGCTTACCTAATTCACAGATCTCGAACCAAACCAGGACATCGTACTTGGCATGAACATGGCTGGTGCTAGGTGATGGCAGGACCCCGAACTTGGGTGACCGCACTGGCTGACTGATAGGGATAGATGGGGGAAGCATCCGTTTAGGAGGCTGGCGCACGCTACAATTGCAACATAATGTGAATGGCACATGCAACATGCCGAGGAAAAATATGGTGCCACAACAAGTTATGGGCTGGTTATGATATTTTTATTTGGACTATTGTGACTCACTAGATACATTCTACAGGGGCTCTCTTATATCAAATTTTGCACAAATTCATTTAGTTTTAGCTAAGAATTCCATGTTCGCAGATGGGCATGCTGAGCATTATACATATGCACCATGCAATTCCTTATGGAAATGCTACAGCCTGTTTTGTTGACATGTTTTCAAATTAGCTGAGTATAGGAGTTGCCTCACTAGAAGATACATAAGATGAAATAGTACTCACTACTGTCCACCCTCCTGCTTGGCATCTTTGTGTAATGGATGCTGCTGGTAGTGGCCAAACACTTCAAACACAATAGGCTGTGACTTCAAATACTCCAGGAATGACTTTGTTACCGTTACAGTTATCTGAAATCAAGTGAATATTTAGAAGTGTTGACTATCTCAGCTGCAGTGTACATAGAATGTAGTTTGATGTTCTGTGCTTCTGCAACAGCTAGTAAAAGCACAAGAAAATGTTTTCAGTGCCTTATCAGGTTTTAAAGCTCACAGTTCCTTTATTTCTTAGTTGACAATGCTACCGAATACTGGTAAAACAAGAGTGTAGGCTTAAAAATAAAATCCTGAGGTAATCTGACCTCTAGTGCAAGGTTAAAAGTAATGAGCTTGAAACAGATATAAGACCACTCATACTGTTGCTTAATATTGGCATCACTTTTAAGTGCAGAATTTAACAAAGAGCTTTGGCTGTATCAGGTATTATGCCAAAAAATTATTTTAAAAAGCTTAATAAAGGAAAATGAAGTTTTAAAAGACAGAAAAAAGAGTATCTTCAACTTCTTGAGGACTATGGGAGATGGGAACGATGCTTTCTCTACACAAAGATGTTTTGCATGACACAGCTTAGGAAAAACTGTTGAAAACTGAGAATTGAAAATGTGATTATAATCTGCTAGATCAATTGCATGTTATGTTAGTGTCACAGATTACAGTGGGGTTTCGAGTGGTAACTCGATTTATTGATCACTTTAATACGCACACTAGTGTTCTCAGCCTGTTATAGTCTCCGATAGTCATTGCCTGGTAATGAATCCTACCAATGGAGATTCTTCAGCTTCTATGGTCATGCTGTTGCCAGGTGGTTAACACTCCACACCTGAACGCTCAACTGAACTGACCTAACTGGGTTCCAGGCTGGTGTCCATTGCATACCAACCTCCTAGTCTTATCTTTACAGGCTTTCAACTGAACTGCTGACAACTTCAACCAGCCACTAACTTGTTGTTTCAAACTGCCCTGCTTATAACATATTGGTATGGACCACATAAGAAACACAATTCTTCTGTTGCTGCACTGATGTCTGTTGTCACATTAAAGAGTATGCAATGTTACAAAATAGCCAGCAGCGGGCAACAGATTTCATGATTGTGAAAGGGTTAATATATGTACTAGCATTTCCAGTCTGCCTGTTCTCTACTGGGTTACACCTGGCATGGGGAGCAACATCACGTGAAAGCAAAACATTTAAAACTAAGACTACATATTTTCTGTCATGAGAATAAAGAGATCTGTTTTGTGATTTTAGTTCATTGTATATCAACAGTGCCTAACTCATGGTCATACAGGAAGATTCAAGAGCTACACAATAAATCTATCTTCTAGATAGTCTCTTTCGATCACTTTAATTTTGACAGCAGGTATTGTGCTTTTTAAAGAAGTGGCAAAGCATTAATATAATACATTACACTGTCACATATCGGGGTTTGCGTGATGAATAGTAATGGGTTCTGGATTCGATGATCAGATTTATTAGCACTTCTTTACAATTACAACCAATTATGACAGCTCACAAGCAATGACTGTCTAAGACTCACTCCATTCCTTATTGGACTACAAGCATCTTCTCTTCAGCTGTGATGAATGACAAACGATGAATCTGTGCTCACACACACTGAACTGCCTAATAAGATGTGTCTGACAAATCCCCCTTATGAGTGAAGTATAACTCTTTTATAACTTCCAGGAGGCCCAAATATTGGTCACCATCTCAAACTGTTCTTCTGTTATTCTGTGTTATCCACTGCCATAGGAATTGGTGTCTTTGTTAATATTTGTTGTCATGGAAACATGCGTCAATCTATGACAATGCTTTGGCCTTCACCAGCCTATCCATTGCAGCAGCACTCTGTGTTAGTTAGTTAGTTATTGGAGAGGGTGGGTTTCCCCATGCACTTAGACCAGTATTGGTCCATTGTGCTTCCCTCTATGATATTCTACCAGTCTCTATACCCTACCGATATTGGTGCGTACCATCAGTCCCGACCGAGCCAGCGAGTTCGGCCTCTACTGGCTTGGCGGTATCTATAATGCTTCCCCCATCTATCAGAGGCGTTAGAGANTGTCCTTGAATTTGGCTCAGTGACCTCCTTTGGAGATATGAGGTTCTTTTACGTGCCGTAAAGCTATGACACGGGACCCACGGCTTAATGTCCCTCCCGGAGGACTTGTTCCCTGAATTTTTCCACCCTTAAAAATTCCACCACCTCCGCCGGGTTTGAACCCGCGTACCACGAGTCATGAGGTGGGAACGTTACTCTAGACTACGGAGGCCGCTAGGACTCTGTGTTTACCAAAGTGTTGTCTAGCAATGGTCTATTCCAGCTTTCAGTCATCATGTCACAATATACATACAGGCATAAGTGTTCTGAATGCTGGCTGAATATTTCAAAGGTACTGTATCACTTCTTGGTCTGAACAGTGAAACAATGAATGAAATTGGTGAATTCTAGCAAAACCAAAAACAGCTTTCTGCAGCAATGTGGAAGCAGTAAAATATTTTAACTGAAATGAATGTCAGCATTAGCTTAAATGTGGCATCAAATTCAAACACTTCATTCACTTTGCCCATGAAGCTCAAATTTCATCATACCACGCAAATCAGGCATGTATGATATTTTTATAATATGACAGTTCTACTGATTTCATCAGAAGTCTATTTTATACATAGACAGCCATTTTCATATAAATGATCATTATACTGAAGTATTATATAACACAAAATGTTTAGCTCAGTCAGACCTATAAATAATTCTGTTTGAAATATTTTGCTGAGAGAGTAAATATTAAATAAAATATTCTTACATATTAATTTTGTTGATCAAGCAAAGTGACAGCCTTCATTGGCTGATATGTATTTTGGTTTAAGTTTTAATAGGAACTCCGAATCACAGAGTTAACTACACTCACTTACATTATATATATGATGTTTTAGTATCCTATGTGGCATTTCAATTAAAATGGTAGATCAAATTGTCCAGTATACTGACTGCCAATGTCAAATTAAATGTGCATCTTCAAACTTTTACATATATAAAGTACAGTCATATGAGTTGTGAGGCCACATATAGTCTGGCAGAAGTCTATTGACATTTCAGATAAATGTACTGCCTCCACCTTCAGGCATAAAATATCTGTAAGCATTAAAAAATGAACTGCTTCACTTGCTAGAATAACCAGGCAAGTTCTATACAAATTTAAAGTTTACAAGCTAACTAACATTTTTTTTTTTTCAATTTTTGAGGTCTGTTTCAGTCTTCTACACATTTTTCAGTACCACAGAAAATTACAGATATGTTACAGAATTAGGTTCAGACAGGAAGGGGAAATCAAAGAGAGAGCAGTGACAAGCCAGAAAAGTGTGATTAGCACAACTTACATTCTGGACATGGTAGAAGCCCAATGGTGGTCCTTTTCCTGTGTTCTTAACTGGTTCAGTAGAAAATGCTTCATCATGCCGATGAAGGAAGCTGTAATGAGTATATAAGATATGTATTTACAGGCTCTGTCTCTAACAGTGTACAAATCAAAAGAATTCTATTAACAAATTTGTGACTTTTGTTAAACTTGATGACACTTTGATGTCACACATCTCTGCGGTTCTTTTTTGTTCCTGCAAGACTGCTTATTTGAAGTCTTGTCCTTCTTTCATGAAAATTTAGTGCTTTGGTTAATATTACCAAAGCAACATACTACATAAAATACTATGTAAGCAAACACTGTATGACAGACACTTCAGGATTCCTTTAACATGAAATACACAAAAGGATTTTATGATCGAGTATGATTATATAAATGACATATTCTCTTTATTGTAAGCATTTGAAAATTTAAGTAATAACATGAGATAAGTAAACTAAAGTACAGAAAGAATGAATGAGGAACCAAATGATTTAAATTCATCACCTAGCAGGATAATTAAGGAGGATGCATATGTAGCTATGATGAAAGAAACGAATGACAGACAGAATCTTCATGGAGAAAGTGCTTGGGAAAGTAATCATTCTGAAGGGAAAGATGACCAATATTAAATAAATAACTTTCATGGGAACACGTTTCAGTAGTATGGATTGAACTGAACTGTCTCAGGATCAGGTTGAATGGCAATGTTTAGTCTCACTTATTCTGACGCCTCAGGTTACATAACACGTTAATATAGTCTTCACTGGAGAAGCTAGAATGTGATACACTAACATCTGATAAATCAGTGTAGAGGCACAAAAGAGGTCAAAAATAAAACTTTTTAAGTTAGCACTAAAGGCAGCTACAGCAATGTTCAGACATACTGTGTTACATGTGCATTTAGTTTCTAAACCAATATACTGTTTAATAACCAAACAATGGAAACACAAAAGGAAGAATATGATCAGCTGAAAATAACCAGTTATGCCTTCTGATTAATTGATGTTTGAATAAATATTGTTTTCATGGATAAAGCAGCTGGGGTGTGAAGCTAACCACTGACCTCCATCTAGTGCTGAGGTTGAGAATGGTGGAGCTATACTTCCACTCCCGCACATGTCTTCATGGCATAGTGCTTAATCAAGCACAGGGGCAACTTTATTTTTTTTTTACCTTTTTACTCACTGCTTTCATATGAACTGTACCTCTGAGATTATAGATCATATAGAAGACAGACATATGACTATCCTTACTTGAACTGGCAGAAGATGTCAGCATACTCTGTCGAAATGCCAACAGCTTGTAGAACCGTGACTCGGAATGTAAATTCATTTCCAACCTGCAGATGCTCTGGTAAATCTTCCTCCTTCATGTCAGATGACACAGAGCTGTCACCTCGACCACTGTCTGCATCACCGTCAATTTCTGTCAAACAAGACATCTATTAGGGATAGGTCTGCACACACATTCAACACATACAATGCACTTATCACAGAAAAAATTTATATTTGGGAGGTGTTATCAAATAAATCTTGTGACAAAAGTGTCTGTCTAGTCATCAGGAAATCTTTGCTTGCAATGCACTTTTTATCACATTAATATTCTACATTATGAAGATATGATGAACATATGAAAGTGGACTTCTATAATAAATGTCTCAGGTCTGAGATCAGTCAAATCAAGTGCAGATTTTAACATATGTCCTTTCTGTTCTCATATCCAATAAAAGATGAGTGTTTATACCTACAGACATCTGCCAAGATTCAGATGATTGCAGCTATCCAGGAAAATTACTGAAGCCATAACTGGCTATATAGCCACGAGTCATGACAGAATGTTGATATGATATGATCATTCAATTCAGTTACATTCTGTGCTTATTTATGAGCTTACTTAACAGCCCAAAGGCCATTTATAAAGTCAGTGCAAGCATAATAATGAACCAGAACAAACAAATACACGAATAAAAGACAAAACAAGGTAACTTGTATCATTCAGAAAATAATAAAAGCTCAGTAAGGGCAAACATGCCAACCATTTTGCAGTGGGAAACAAACATATATACACATACATTCATACTGAAAATAATTAACATATATTGTTGCCTGCTGCATTATGACAGTAAGCAGTTTCAAAGATGGTTATTAATATTTTCAAGGAACCTGCTGCTTTCATCTTCAAAGTGAATGCAAAGAGTAGGTTTCCCTGCAACACTGGTAAACACCTAGGAGACTACATGGTGTTGTAACCCAGAAGACCACAATCCAGATCTTGGATGCTTATAATGGAATCTGAACTGCTAAGAGGGACTGACATGATTTGAGACTTGCTTTAAGATGTGCCTCATATGAAGAAAACACAATAAACAAACTAAATCCTTTGGAAAAACTGATCAGTTTTACTAACCATCAACTTTGCAGGAATCCTTGCCATTTTCTTGTGCCTCCACTTTGTCTGGAATGTCCTGTTGATCCTTGCAGGGATCCTGGATATTGCCCTGTCCTTCTACCACTCTCTCATCTATATGCTGTTGATTCTTTTCCAACGTTTGAGCCAACAATGTGCTGCGTTTTGATGGGCGTTGCTGACCAATGAAAAGTTCGTCATCGAATGAAATGCGAGCAGACTGTCTTACACCACTCAAGTACTCACTGTTCTCCTCTTCTGGAACATTACAGTGCATATCAGTGTTCGAAATGTGCAATCAGCAGGCCACTAAACTCTGTGCCTGCCACATTAAATTTGATACACATATATTTCTACTATGTTGGATGTTATGTGCTGTATGTGATATATTTTATATGTGTGAACTTTTGGGAGTTGTTTCTACTCCCACTTTCAGGCAACTGATTATCATTATATTGACAGATATTTTTATTCTTTTTTTTTTTAATTTTGGGAAATTATCCAAATTATCCATATGCAGATGTCTCAAAAGGCATGCCGAATTGCCTGCAAATTTGAGTTCATGAAAAATGGATACAAAGTACCATTGATAATTTTCTTTATTTGTGGAAGACATCACTGATAACTTACTCTACATATCATTATAATTTAATTACATGTAGGCACAGTTTAACCACAGTGACGGAGGGGTATGGAAATCCTGAACTGTGAATGAGTGACAAGAAACTGGAATTGATAGTGGAACAGACCCAGCACAGATCACTCTAATAATGGATAAGGACCCTGTTACAGTGTTGCTTGCATATGCCGAATATGGTAAAAGTGTAATTCTGTTTTTTGTAGTCTTTCAAACAAATTAGTTGAAAATTGTGTGCTGGGTGTCTCGGCCAGTTCCATGAATTAATTTAATAACTAATATTAGTAGAGTATCTTCAGTTTTAATAGAGATGATAGCATTCAAAGATTTGAAATTCATTTCATGCTGACAAATACACACATCAGATGATGTTGCAACAGTAAATATCATTGAGAGAACTCCTTAATTAATATTTTAATGGTTCATGTATCAATCTCTCTGGTGGTCCCTCATTTGTTCTATACAAACTTACTCAATAATGTACAGACACCTGCCTGCTGACCAAATGTCCTACATGAGGGCTTCAATGCTGTACAGCTAAGAAAATGTATATTGAAATCTCATTATAATGTAATTTTCACAAGATTATAACAGTTCAATCAATTGTCACTGTTAACCTGAACAAACTGTGTAAAATTGTGAATCCCTGATAAGATTTGAAGTTTTCACAAGGAAAATACAGACTGTGACCTTCTGGGTTATGACACCAGGCAGTACTGTATGAGATTACCACTGGTTTAGAGAAACCTACTATTTCCAGTTTGAAGACAGATATTCTATGGGGATGCAACAGGCTTCTTTGAAATAGTGGTAACCATGCATAATACTACACAGTACCATAAACCAGAATACCACAACCTAAATATGAGCACCTGCATGTCACAGGTTTCAGCTGCACCAAGTCTGGAGTGTTACTTACCAATGACAGCTTGAACCGCAACTTTGAGGTAACCTTTCACATCTCCTTTCTCATTAACAATAGCAACTTTATGGATAAGTGGGACTGGATACATTAAATTGCTGAGATACACAAACGCTCTGAAACAAAATCACAATACTCATCGTACTCTATTATACAAGATTAGGTCCAAGTGTGGTTAAGACTATCTGTATCTGACCAGTGGCATGAATATTTTACTGGCAAAATACTGTACCATGTGGACCTGTTGCTGGGCAACAACCATGATATAAGGAAATATACAACAGCCATTACTGAGTAACAGATTCTCAAACAAACACATTCCCATGGAAACAGCTGAACAGCAACACAGGAACGGTGTTTTCTATGTGGTCCATGCTGAGAGGTCATAAGTGGGACAAGTTTAGAGTTTAGTCAGTTGTGAGACATTCATCAGCCTGTAAGATGCAAGCAGAGGACACTGTTAGGATCCATTACCAGGAACAGCTAGTGAAAACAAACTGAGAAGACTTGGTATGTGCTGCAGTGAATTCTAGAGTTTGTGAATTAGTAACAGTGCTATAACTGCTGCTAGTTTTGATCTGGAAGTGTTCAATAAATCCAATTATCAATCCAAACACCATCTATAGTCACTCATACACCTGACAATATTAAGATCCCAGGCCAATCCCATCTCCAGGGAATTCTACAAAATATCTAAAAAGATTCATAGCTTGTCACATTAAATTCTGAATTGAAAGAAGCCACAGGGTTTTTAAAATTTCACCTCTATGGCCTTGGTATTTATTTATTACAGCTGCAAATTCTGTAACTTTCATCACCTTCGAACAGAGCGAGTGCAATAATTAGTAACACAGCATAATCTATAGTCCATTTTTGACAATGACAATAAAGAAAAGGGGAAACAATTATATTGCTTGCATTCTGTAAGATGTACACCCAATCAAAATGTCTCAAATAAATTATATAAATGTTAATGGTATCTATATTTTATATTATATATGATTAACCACTTTTGGTGGCAATTGATTTAAGTTTTATTTAATCTTCATGTAAAGGACTTATACTGAACCATGTGACTAGGAGAAGGTGAACACAGAGAAAATACAAACACTGTGGAGAAAACCATGGCATGCAACTCATCACTGTCATCATCGTCATCAGTGTTGTTGTCATCCTGATCATCATCATGAACTTTATAGGGATAAGTCATTATGGCTTGCTTGTATGACTGCCAAGATGGTCACACACTCCATCATCAATCTGATCTTCCATGTCTCATGACACGCCTCTGTTAGTACTAGCATGACAACTGCGAAGGGCAGTCTGTTATCATCCTTTCCAGTTCTGTTGGTTTCCTTGTGTTTCTTCAACTGTATTTGTAACTTTCAATATTTCTTTCATGACAGAATTTCTGTGGTTGTCTAATCTTGTAATCAAATACAGAAATTAGCAATATTATTAAAAAACTACAAGTGGGAAGGTTAAGACAAGAAAGAAAGCAAACGACTGTGAAATAACAACCCCAAAAATGAAAATGTCCATCCTGCTGTTGCTGCCGATGACAATGACTACTGTATTGCTCAATATGCAATGATTACCTGCCGACCATCCTGAACCAAGGGAAGCGGTCATAGAATGGGTCTCCTCCTGTCAGAGACTCGATATTGTAGTCTGGTGATGTTGGAGACAGCTCAGCTTCATTGTGATACATCTCTCTCATCAGCTCAAGTCGCTGTCTGCAAGTATAAACATGACATTTCAACTACTAAAGATAATCGCTTGGAAAAGTGCACATATACACCAACTGCATAACAGATAGATGAAGATATGCTCTACTCTCTCACTTAACCAATTTAAGCAATCAGCACTTACTTTTACTGTGAACATTACAATAAGTTTATCATTTCATAATCAAAGTGTTCTATCTGATTGGAGGTATTCATGCAAGATTGTGATCTTCTGGGTTGTGACAGCATATAGTCTGGTAGGTAGTTATCAGTGTTTTGTAGAAATATGTTGCCTCTACCATCAGGTCACTTCTGCTCACAAGATGGTAACCACCTACCATACTACACAGTTTCTCAATCAAGTAGACCACAATTTAAACAAAGTGTTCTATGTTCATTCTATTATGTTGCAAATATCTTGCATTATGATGTAACCACCCACTTCTGCATGAAACTTAGATACTGTTATTATGATCCAGATACATTCCATTTAATGATCCCCACTAAATATTTCACTAAATTTTTGCATCATCACCAAAATCACATAATGGTACTATATTCATATGGAAGGAGCATTTAGCACAGTCTTTGCAGATATACAAATGAATGATTAGCTATTATTCTAATAAGCATTTCTACTGTAATAAACCACCCAATTTGCATACATACATAAAACACATATCATGCACTACTGTCTCAAAAACATGCACTAAACATCAAATATTAAATAAAATAAGTATTAACAACATAAGACATTCACTTGTTCCCAAACACTGTGGTATGAAGGAATACTGGCCATGGAAGTAAAGGTATGTGAGCTGTAGAGTTCAGTAACGGACAGACATGAGTGGTGGTCAGCTTTAAATCCAGCAAGAGAGTCTCAAGTGTCCGTCTGGCATCAGCAGGTTCCAAGACCATTCTAAATAAGGTGGTGAAGACATAAATCCCAATGCTCCTAACATCCAACAATCAGTCACTTTATTCAGAAAGCTATCATGATCCCCAGATATATACCCCCCCACAAAAAACTCTTAAAAATGTACAACAAATACACAAATGTTACAAAATTATTTTCATTTACTTTACTGTCTGCAGGTCCAACATTTTTAAAAGATACTAAGCTTTTGCTATAGACATTTGAATTTGAATTTACAATATTTTCAACAGCTAAATGAGCTGTTTTACCATTTCTCCTCAGGAGACATAAATAAAAAATTTTGGATTTGAGCTTCTTAGAATGATGGCTAGCAAGAGTGCTGTCTTCTGGGATGTAACATTTTGTAGTCCAGTAGAAATACACCATCATTTTAGAGGAACATGCTACCTTCAGAGCCAAAGAGTGAGCCAAGCAAGTAACCAGAAAGAAGAGGCAATAAACTTTTGGCCTGAAGATGGAGGCAGTATGTTCCTCTAAAATAATGATTTGGACTACATGGCATTAAATCCCATGACATGATACTCTTCACACAAATAAAGAATTTCATGACAACAGAAGAGACAGACTCTCTTTTGAGAATTTCTTCTTATCTTCACTTAATGTTATAAAATGTTCATAATATCATATAGGAGCATCCTGCTGCATTAACTGATCACTCTGAACCATGGAGTTAATTATTTACATTAGATATTAACAACATCTACATTTCACGCCATGTACTAATTTCTTGTATGATAAATCTGACCAACTTCACATAACATAAGCTTTATAACTGATTAGTGTCCACCAAAATTAAATTCATCCAACAACTTTCAATGGACACCCAACATCAAATTTTATAGACTGAAGTCATATAATTGTGCAGATCAAACATGCAGATCAAACAGATGGATAGACAGGTATACACACTATGTGTTCCTTTATGAATCTTTGCAAAGAATGCATAAATATCACTGTATGATTACAACCTATAAGCTTTGAATAAAACACATTCTGGAAAAAATAAAAAATTATAGCCTGCTAATAGGACATTCCTTTCTCACAACACTGATCCCACTGTATCCAGATGCTAGAAGACAGTATTTTCAATTGTATTTATTTAAATCAGCACAACTTTTGTACAGGTTCACTACTCATTAAGTATTAATTAATATATGCTTTGGGCCCTCGGTCATAATCAGGTAATGTAGGGAGTATAACATCCCTACATTACAGAAATATCAGATGTAAAAATTGGCAAATCTAAGTTTGGAGCAGCCAAGTTTACAGTGCATGTACATTATGTGATGATGGCTACAAGGCTGAAACATGTAGCAGTTAATACACATATCCAGAAAGCTGTGTTGATGGAAATAAATACAGCTGAAAATACAACACAACATGATGTGACAATACAATACTTAGAAGACAGTACATTTAAACACACTCATACTTTATACACCACCTTTCCATACTAAGTATCGAAAGGAGTAAAAATAAATCTATCTGATGACTCCATTAATGAAAACTTCAAATTTCAAACATTACCAGAAATGCTAATGGGAGTAGATGAGAAATTAGAAATTAAATTTTTGAAGTGTAAGTTCACTCAAATATGTTAAGAGTCAGAACAGAAATGGTTACAACAATCTGATTATGCAAATAGAACAGGCAGAACAACGATAGCAAGAAAACAAGAATTAAAATATAAAGGAAAGAGATCTATGGGATGACACAGAACAAGATGGTTCTGCCAAGTACCATAAGACATTTTTAAAAAAAAGAGGAAAGCATGGTCAAGAAATTGAAAAGGAAGAAAGAATATATTGGAAACACTTCAACCATTGACCTGTATAATACAGAAAAAATGTTAAAAGAAGACTAATGGAAGTTGTGTAAGATGAAAATGCAATGTCAAAAAACACACAAAAGACAACAATCATGCAACATGTGTTATTTGTAGTGGTCACATAATAGTATATATAGAGGAATACTTCTTTTCAATACAATCATGCTGTGACTTAACCATCTGCTAGTTATAACACTGTATAACACAGCAATCATATTATCTGAAATTTAAATATCCAGAAAAAAGGGAGCAAAATGAATGCAAACAAGAAATCATATTATGCAGATAAATTGTAAAAGATAAATCTTTCTAAATAAGTGCAATATTGTAACAAACAGATGAAATATTGCAGGTACTATATATAGCTAGCAGCATCTTCATCGTGGAGATCCTAAAAGAGAACTATAGAACAAGATCTGTAAGGAAACAACTTGCTACAAGTCTCATAGTGCTCAGAGTGGCTGTGCATTACATCTCTCTGCAAATCTAAATGTCAATGCCAACTGGTTAACTGCCATACCAACAGTTAGGTCAGTTTTAAAGGGTTCTGATGATGGCATATCAAACTTAGGGTTACTGGGTTTCTGGACTTTCTCTGTCAATCAACATATAACACATTTCAGAAACTGGATCTGTTTCCATTCTCAGATGAAAAGCTGGTGAGGCACCTTGTCCATTAGAAAACGCAGTCACTGGACCAGATATGTTATTTCTAACAGACTCAACTAGGTAGGTCCCTCCCTGCTTTTTCATCTGATGATGGAAAGAGATCCAGTTTACAAGAAGCCATTTTCTGTTCAGGATGCTAGATGAAGGACAAAGTCCAGATATTCAGTAATCCTAAGTACAAAAGTTAGGTGCTCCCAGCATCTAGCCTTCAAGCAAGAACACATTTTCTAAGACCCTAACTGATAAAAGTTTCCATACATGGCAAAAATCTATGATTGGCTGGTAGATTCTTAGATAATTTAATGATGATGTTCCAGCTGCAGGGGTTATATACAAATATAAAATGCAGAGGGTAGATATTCATGAATGGTGAATATACCTTGAGTCAGAGTCAGTCGGTCATGAGATATTTAAAGGTACTACCCTGGCATTAGGTTGTAAATACTGTGGAAAACCGCAGAAACACTTCAGTTTGGATAACAGGTAATCTGGCCAAAATTTTAAATGGGCATATGCACATAAAAGGCCCAATTATTACTGATACACCCTGGTCCAAAAGTAAAGTCTGGACAGTTACTGATCTCTGTAAATCCAGTGACAGAATTCTTATGTTATTTAATGACACTGTATCTACTGCACTGGTTATATACTGAAATATAAAATGATTGTTCATGGTGATTGGTAGAGGAAGTGCTATAAGACCAACTGTAGGAACAGACAAAAACCACAAACATCTCAGGAGAGATTCCAGTCAAGAGCACCTTAAATATGAAGCAGTAATGCTAATCACTCTAAAATGATGTTTAGTAAGAATGAAGGGAATAAGAAGGGACAAAGCCTTGTGAAAGCAGCTGCAGAACCTGGCAAAGACAAACTTGGATTTGCTTTATCTGCTGGGAGATCATTTTTTACCCATATATGAAGGAAGCTGAGGAAATTGTAACACGTTGAAGAATTAATGGGCTGCAGGAAGATGCAGTGTCTACCAGCATAAGTACCCAAGGTCTCATCAACTCTTGTGGTACATTCTAACATACTGGAAACGTCAACCTGTATAGTGCGTGAATAATGGACTATAAGACTAGGAAGATGGAACTTATCACGGTATGAAAACTGGCTACATCCTTATTGCTTGGAAACTTCACACTGCTTCCATTTTTATGTCATATATTTTACTCAGTAGATTTGAACTGGATAATGTAAGTAAAAAAGTAAATTAAAGCTATCCCTGTACCAGGCCGTGAAAGCCCATAGAGTTGTGAGACGTTGAGGATAATGTAGCTGACAATTTTGGTGTACATCAGTTATGGATTAATGATTGCCAGGACAGGTCACTCTCAAACAGACAAACAAAAAGCTTGGGAAAAGATTCATATACGATAAAACCTCCATATTATGAATCTCTCTCTAATAATACCTTCACATAACAAACAAAGTAATGGCACAGTGGATACAGTACCACAAAATAATCTTAAGAATCAATTGCCACCATGTTCAATTGACCCACACTGTCAATGAACACTGACTGCTCCCTCCCCACAGGCAAAGCAGCCAGCATATAAAGCTGGCCAATATCTCTAAATATGAAGCTAACAAACACTGGAGCTTTATCTCTATGACCCCTACATGCCTTCATAGCATGGAAATTATNAGTTGTGAGACGTTGAGGATAATGTAGCTGACAATTTTGGTGTACATCAGTTATGGATTAATGATTGCCAGGACAGGTCACTCTCAAACAGACAAACAAAAAGCTTGGGAAAAGATTCATATACGATAAAACCTCCATATTATGAATCTCTCTCTAATAATACCTTCACATAACAAACAAAGTAATGGCACAGTGGATACAGTACCACAAAATAATCTTAAGAATCAATTGCCACCATGTTCAATTGACCCACACTGTCAATGAACACTGACTGCTCCCTCCCCTCAGGCAAAGAAGCCAGCATATAAAGCTGGCCAATATCTCTAAATATGAAGCTAAGAAAGACTGGAGCTTTATCTCTATGACCTCTACATGCCTTCATAGCATGGGAATTACGCAGATGGTAACTTTTATTTGCATCAATCAAAGAAGAAAATAATCCATGTGAGCCACATAAACAATACTCTTAACAGGCTGTAAACTATATAACAACCTCCTATAAAACTTCAAAACAGAATATGTTGAAATTTGCTATATGCAAGTTTTACTACATATGTATATGTTTTACTGTGGCTGTCAATCAGAAAAAAAAAAAATTTCAATGAAACACTGGGGACATTCTGACATATTCCACTCTGAGTACTGACTGTTTCAAAGCACAGAAAAAACACACTGGGCCCTCAGAAGAAGCAAAGCTAGGGGAAAAGAAAAGATTGTTGACAAGAGAAAAGCAGATAAAGAGTGTCAGGTGGGAGATCAGCCAGAATGCCATGCCATGAAGTCACATCACATTACTGAAATGAGCTCACAGATATACGCACATTTTGCTAGTGAGCACCAACCTCGAAGGCAAAAGATTTGCAAGCGAGAACTTCTGATTAGCACAGACAGAAAGACATTGGAAAAAGTCATCCTTCGCCTCCGGTGTCTCGGGGCTAAGATCTTCGTTGTAAATATGACGCATGAGTTCCAACCGATGTCTACAATACAGGAAATTATTGTGTTAATTATTTTACAGATGTCTCCAACATAATCATAAGCAACTAACCTGTATCGTGGACAAAGTTTGTTCTATTAAAATAAAACACACCAGGAGTGGAAAATGCTTTTCTTTTGCCTTGGAGGTTTAGAGGACTGTATGGAAAGGAAAACACATTTTCCCACAAATGTTGAACTGGACACACATGTCTGTAAAACATAAAGGTCATATTTTTCTTTCCAATATGCAAAATACAAATTGGATGAAAAGTGGTGAAGAGAGATTGCTTCAAAAAGCTGATGCAATTTAAAAATTAAATGACATGTTTCATCCAATTTTCTGCTACACATTCTATTTATCAGACATCTAGAATAAAACTATAAAACTTACATCAGATTATTAAAAAGGACATTAACTGTCACCATAATGAAAGGATCTTTCTGATAATCCACTTCTATTTGCTCCAAGAATAGTGGAAAGCATTCAAACTTTGTCTACAATGTACTTGACAGCTACACACAGAATCACTGAACTGTATATAACTATTCACACTCAACATGCAGTACTCCAGTGAAAAAGTGAAACATGTTTTGAAGACCACAAGTATGCAGTAGCAGTATTACTTGGGTGCATAACAGATTATGATGTCATTGATGAACTTCTTATGGAATACAAGCACAAGTATATTATATTTAAGCATCCTGTTGCACTATACACTTCTATATGTAATAATACAAATGCCGTCGTCAATACAACAATTTATTTGGTTGTAGTTCTTTGTCTTTTCTTCCTCTCTACACTACATGTTTTGGCAGCAACCGGCCATCATCAGGTGTATTTTTCACTACGTAGTTGTCACACTGCACACAATCTAAAATCTAAAACACCAGCCTGTCAGTTTTGTTTAAAATCTCACCAGCTGATTCAGTCACAAATAATCCTGATGGAAATAATATGATGACGATAATTTATGGATTATATTCTACTTCAGTGTCTCATTGAATGGTGGAGAAGAAATGAATGACATATAACAGTAGATGACCAAATATACTGACAAAGTCTTACTCTTTTAGTTCTCTTTTTCTGATATTTAATTTTCCCCCTAAGTGTGAGAAAAGTCACCCTCTCTTCTTAGCACTGACTGACAATAATTTGTATCTATTGTGACACAAAGATGAGAAGGAACAGAGACCCAAGTCAAAGTGTTCAGTAGCAAGGAAGTGGGATTCATATATCACTACAAATATGGTCACAGGAGATGTCAGTTATCTTAGTAGTTAATTCCATGGTACAAGGTATTTCTGGAAAAGCTGATATTGTTAGTCAGTTGGACCATATCCTCAGCCAGGTGAATTCAGTAAAATTTTCACTTTCCATTTCTCTAAGATCCATTTCAGTACTATCCTCCCATCAACATTTAGATATCCTATGAGGTATCTTCCCTTGAAGCTTCCCAAACAAGGTTATGCAGATACATTCCTCATTTTACCATTGCATGCCATGCCTTATCCATATCACACTTCTTGATTTAATCAACCTAGAAATTAGGAAAATATTAAAATTATGAAGCTCCTAATTATATAATTTTCCTCATCTTCCTGTTATTTCCTCTTTTTTTAGTACAAATATTCCTTTCAGCACTTTATGTGAACAGTTGGGCTGTGCCACAGCTCAAGCAGTTAGTCGCTGGCTTCCCATGGCGGCAGCCCGGGTTCGAACCTGGGTCTGGTCAAGTGGGATTTGTGGTGGACAAAGTGGTGCTGGGGCAGTTTTCTCCAAGTACTTCGGTTTCCCCTGCCAATCTTCATTCCACCAAATTCTCCATTATCATAATCACCTGGGGCAAGTAGAATAGGCCAATCAGTGGCCACCTTGCTGAGTGGACCCAGCTGGACTCCACCCCCCACTATGCAAATTAAAAAAGAAGAATTATGTGAACAGTTACTACTTTAAACTTTCTATATCCCCAACAAAAATTATAAAACTGAGAGAAATATGATTCTTAGGGAAGTTTAACAACCAAAGCATGACAACTAGTCCAAATACTGGGTAGAATACATGCAAATATTATATCTTGTGATCAAACACAAGAGCTGGACATTGTCAAAACCGAAGCACTCACTGCTCAAGGCAGAATGAGTGCAAATTATTCCCCTACAATCTAAATGCAGACATGAATGGTCTCCAGCTCCATTTTTCACTTTAGTGTGTATGTCTCACAGAAACTGAAATTCACCTGAGCTTCTCAAGAGTCCAATAGTGGGTGGCCCCATTCTTGGTGTCCTGCACCTCTACTGCCACAATGGTACGTGGAAGTGGTCTATCCTCCTCATCATCCTCGTCCAATGCAGGCAGCAGATCAACAGGCAGGGGTGAGTATAGGGTGTCTGTGAGGAGGGTGAATTGGAACTGTACCTGCAACAAGATATTAGTGCCATATGCTGCCAACGTGTGAACTATTACACCAGGTTCCCAGTGATGAGCTGCATATATATCACCTGGCACATAATGCGAATCTACCAACCACTTATCAAAATGCATTTGTTCAATGTTTTAACATTCTGCAACATTCAGACACTTTTACATATAGTGGATATTTAAAAACACTCAATGTTAAATGACAAGCATGGAGAACAAAAGTAGCACGTCTTTTGTTTTTGTACCTTGCACATGGTGACAGGTAATATAGTTATTAAATGCTGGAATGAGTATATTATGTATTCACCACTCATCTCCTTTAACTACTTTTTCAATTTTTTTTTTAAATTCGCATAGTGGGGGGTGGAGTCCAGCTGGGTCCACTCGGCACATCAGCCACTGATTGGCCTATTGTACCTGCCCTGGGTGATTATGAAAATGGAGAATTTGGTGGAATGAAGATTGGCAGGGAAACGGAAGTACTTGGAGAAAACCTGCCCCAGCGCCACTTTGTCCACCACAAATCCCACTTGACCAGACCCGGGCTTGAACCTGGGCCGCCGAGGTGGGATGCCAGTGACTAACCGCTTCAGCTATGGCGTGGCCTATCTCCTTTAACTAAGTCATGGCAAAGTGGCCTCCGTAGTCTAGGGGTAACGTTCCCACCTCATGACTCAAGGTACGCGGTTTCAAACCCGGCGGAGGTTGTGGAATTTTTGAGGACGGAAAAATTCAGGGAACAAGTCCTCCGGGAAGGACTTTAAGCCGTGGGTCCCATGTCGTAGATTTATGGCACGTAAAAGATCCTCATGTCTCTAGGAGACCTCTGAGCAAAATTAGGTAAAAAAGTTTCCTGCCCAAGTAGTTTCCAATGCCTCTGGTAGATGGGGGAAGTATCGGGTACCACTGCCAGTAGAGGGGCCGAACTCGCTGGCTGAACGGGGCTGATAGCAAGCACCAGTACCAGAAGGGTATGGCGAGTGGTAGAATATCAAAGGGGATGTACAACAGATCAACAACTGGTCGCAGTGCATGGGGAAACCCACCCCCTCCAATAATGAATGAATGAATGAATGAATGAATGAATGAAGTCATGGCAACTGGATGAATATGCGTATATTTCTGGAGTCCTCATCAAGTTTCTGGCCTTATTTCCTTATTCTCATTAGCTCTCAACCGTGTAGCTAATTTTCAGAAACAGTGATATGGAAATCAATAACTACAGATCACCACAGTGCAAACTTTTCAAATTACATGTGACTTAACAATAGCCAGTTTTCTGGGAGCTGGGGGCAGCCAGAAAATTTGCTTACAAACTTACATCTAAGCCAGTGACAATCATTTTTTATCATCAATCTACAGTACTATCCATCTCTGCTCCTGTTGGTAGAAGACCATAACTAACTTTAAAGTGCAAAAGCATTCTATGCCCTCCTCTGATATTTTTTTATTCAGTAGCTAACACATACTCATAACTGATCGGTATTATATCCACTTCTGTTGGCATCTATCTAATATATAAAGTAATTATCATGTAACACAATAGTGATACATGATAAAAAGCTGATAAGTGGAAATGTATAATCATAAGACTATCACAATAAATAATCAGCTTCATTATTTTAGGAAGAATACATGCAAAAATGGGCACTTTCGGTAACTGCTGTGGTCAAAGGGACTATATATTCATAAGAATGTCATAAATAAGCAATTTTATTATTTCAGTAACATTTATCTTAGGATTGTGCTCTTTCATTAGTATTCAATAAACAAATCATCCTAAACTTCACATAAATAATACAAACTTCTTAATTATACATGCATATGGAACTGTAATTCTCACTGCGTAATAATCATAAGCGTTGCCATTTTCCACCATAAAAATGTGTTTCACATTACTTCCAAGCTCAGTTTCAGCCTCAAGGTAAAAATTTCATTTTCCTTTGCTCATATTTAATTTATGAAGATAACTGCTTCTTTGTCATGATGCCAAATATATTCAATCTCTGTAGTGCAGGAATGGTGACCTTTTTCAATGCCTGGTACCAGATGTACCTCAGAGGTTACTTAAAAATAAAAAGTGGTGCTAGCCATCTTTGTTGTTGGTCCAGTACCATTTGTGGACTTAATGAGATATGTGTTGCTGCACATTCTACAAATCTTAAACTCTTAGCCATTACATGATTTTGAAAACAACACAAACGGTATTTTATCTGTGAGATTACTTCTTAAATTTGACTTCATTTATCTGATGGTTCAAAATAATCAACAAGGCAATATAATTTTGTCTTTCCTCATAGCTGTCTCTCTGTGGATATCCATACTTCTTGGTACATGAGATGGATACATAAAGTAACAGCAAAAATTCACCTTATGAAAAGGAATTATAAAATTGTCATGGGTACCAGATGATACCTGTCACTGCCAAGCTTTACATTGCTGCAAATGGTTTGCAATCCCCACTATATAGCACTCATATCTACCAAGTAATAAGTAATAAGTAATAAGTTCAGCTTCAGAATACCTCCATCCTCGCCACCAAGACCCGCTATATGGATCGCATCATTAGGGTGGCAATTGAGATTGAACTGCATCCAGGAAATATGAACAGAGAGGGGGGGGGTTGTCTTGGCAAGTCTTGGAAACCTCTCATCTGTTCTCTTAAAA